TATATCGTCACAAACAGAACTGCCCGGTAAACCGTAGGCAGAGAGAGAGAAGAGGACAACAAACGAGGGGCTGTGACAAACTGTTTCGTCGGAGTTTCACCGACTATATATATATATATATATATATATATATATTTATTTATAAGACAAGGTCACCGACGGGGATGACAGATTGGGCGACATGAAAAATCAACTCAGCGATGGACACGCGATGAACGACAAGCCAAAGATGAACGCGAAGAAGAAGTAGAAGAAGAAGAAGCAATTTTTTTTTTTTTAAATAAGAGCTTTATACGGTAAATACCTCGCTCTCAACGGACAAAAATGATCGGAAAAAAAACACACACACAAAAAAAAAGACACCATGCGTATACAAATCACAACTGTATACGCACAACAACAAGAACATTCAAACAACAAACGGCGTATGCAAATCAAACATAACGACACGGTGATGAAAAAACCGAAGACGAACATAACAGCCAGATAAGGAATGCAACAAGGAGTACAACAAGAACAAGAAGATATACAACAAGAAGTAGAAGAAGAGGACGAAGAAGAAGAAAAAGAAGAAGAAGAAGAAGAAGAAGAAGAAGAAGAAGAAGAAGAAGAAGAAGAAGAAGAAGAAGAAAAGGAAGAAGAAACGACCACGCACGAACACGTACACAAACACGCAAGCACACGCACACGACCATAGTCACACTTACACAGAACCGCAGCAAAGCGGAGGATCGACGACGGGCAACACAACTCCAAACGCGTGACCGCATGCACACAGCACAATAGCGAACACTTGGCAGCACAACCACTGGTACTGGACGCCACTCAAACACGCATGCACACACAACTATCGCGGAAGGGCAACGCAGCCTGTAGTGCACCCGCGTCGCGAAAAAACGAAACGCTTGCGACATCGCCAGCACGCTGGAGGTGAAGCAGACGGGTGGACAAAGCGATGGTGCCTTTGTCACATCCCGAACGCAACCCGACAGAGACACGAACCACCGCACAGGAAACCTAACCGACCACCCACCACGACGTCACGCGGAGAGAGACCTGTCTCTTATACACATCTAGATGTGTATAAGAGACAGTCGCCGCACTGCTCGCCGACCTCGTAGAGCTACAACGACCCCAAGCACATCGCACTTGAACAAATTCACGCTGGCGGAAATGAGGCGACAAGGACGGTGAACGAAAACAACAGAGCAAGGAGGCAGGGTCGGGTCAGGGGGATCGTGGCGATGGCGGACATGACTGTCACAACCCTGATCGGAGGGAAAGCGTCAACAACATCCAAACCCTAGACGACTACACAGAGGAGACACATCGTCGTCTCATATGTATATATCGGTAGTACCGGGACAATGGTAACAATGACAAAAAAAATACAACAACAAAAAAAAAAAAGGCGCGCGATGGCGGAATTTTTGGATCTCTTTTTGTTTTTTTTTTTGTTTCGCATTTTGATTGCGGCCCTTCATTTCCCGCCACAGCGCGAAAGTCCGGTACAGATTGTCGGCGCCCCAAAAACTGGACCACCCGACCGTTTCGCAGCCGCTCGATGCAACCCCGCCGTCGTCCGCCCTCTACACCGTGGGGCCTTGRTGCAGTACCCAGGGACTTTGCGAGATCGGTGAGTTCGGGCGGAGGACCTCCGAAAAACCCGCCCCTAACTCACCGGTACCGGGGGTTTTCGGTGGCGGGGGGACCTGTGGTTTAATATAACAGTTTCAACCAAGGCCGGGGACCTCAAATTCAACCCGGAGTTATCCTGGCAGCATCAGTCAATTTCGCTTTTTACAGGACCTCGAAGGGACCCGAAGAGAACTCAGGGCATACTTACACGGGGACCAAATGAACCAAAATCCCAAAATTTGAGGCATTTTTGTGGTCACACGGGGTTGGCCCTGTACCCAAATGCCTCAAATCGTGACCAAATGTCAGCGGCCTGCGAGGCCGCGGGGGTACCCTTTTTGAGACCACCTCACCAAACGCTTTTTTCGTTTCCTTTCCTCAATTTGTAGAAAATCGTAGAAGAATAAGACAACCAGCCGAAGTTGTTTTCCTTTTCTTTTTTCTTTTTTTTCTTTTTCTTTTCTTTGGTGTCCCCTCGTGTGACCACACGACCTTGCCCTGAGTGCAAAGTGTCAGGGTTGCGACTTCGTCCTTCTGGACGAAGTCCGCACGTGTGACCACACAGGGACCAAATGACCCAAATAACCGTACCCAGATGCCTCAAATTTTTGGTTCATTTGGTCCCCGTGTGAGTATGCCGTCAGAGGGGAAAAGCCAATCCAAAAGACTAGGTAAAACCTACAGACCTAAGACAATCTAGTTCACCTAATACAAACAGTGCTTACTCAACATTCATAGGGGACTACCCAGGAACCGAGCAAACCTACCTACCAGCACTAGACAAAATGTCTTACCACTAGCCGATAGCACACTTCCAAATGCGATTGTTTCCTTTAAACCAAATACTACTACGAAAAGAGAGTTCTTACTTAACTTAATCTAGCCTTACTGTCAAAGAAAGAAGTAATACATTTCCTAGCAGCAAATAGCAATCATTGATCTACAACAAATGGGAGAGTAACTGGTCTAACATCGGCCAAGTCCACAAAACCTCCCGAATATTCTACTGTCCACCGTTCTCGTGGAGGAGCCAGTCTGCGAAATTCAACTCCCCCCCCTCATTCAGGGAGACCAAGTTTTTGGATTTGCCTCAAGTCTGGAAGAACCAGTATCGGTTTTTCCTACTTTCGATTGAACATACCAATTGACTTGGGTTGCTTGCCTGATCAGGTTCTTTACCATCTCCACTTGGGCCTGGAAGGTCGTCTGTTCTTGCTTAAAAACTGCTTTATTGCGGGCCTTCCAAATAGTCTCCATAATCGCCCCCTTACACGCGAGTGCTACATAGCGCTACATAGGCCCACCCTGTGGAGAGGTCTTGTTGTACGGTCTGCACCATTCCTGGGACCAGGGGAAACTTCCTCCTGCTACTGCCTTCCACCTGTCTTTCCACCACTCCCATAGTTGGAGGGAGAAAGGGCAGAACAACCAGATGTGGGAGGCGGTTTCCCATCCCCATCTACATAGAATACATTGTTCCTCAATTCCCATACCTTTGGATGACAGCCAAGTAGCAGATGGAGTAGCCAGCAGAGATTGAAGCCAGATTAGACTGGCCTGTTTCTGTGATGTCATTAGTTTCAGAGAGCGCCACATGCCAAACAAGTCGAGATTGCCCAGCGCAAAGCCTGGTTCCTTGGCCAGTCTCTCTGCTGCAGAAACCACGGGTTGTTTCTTCGTTTTAGCTTGGAGCAGTTGAGCTCCCACCTTGGTTTTGTAACAGCAAACTGGAGTGTAATTTTCTGGATCTAAGCCAAGCTTCCAGCCATAGAGCAGAGGTTCCACCTGAAAAGTGGAGATATCTTGTGATATAAGTTCTGCCTCCTTTTTTTTGGCTGTTGACTTAAGCCAGACCCGACACTCATCAAGACCTACAGTCGTAGGTATGGTCAACTCCCCTACCTTTCTCAGGGGCAGAGGAGCAGAGTCTGAACCTTCTTTCTTATTCCACATCTGAACCTTGATACCCTGAGGAAGTCCAGGCCCTATTACTCTTAGGATCTGTCCCCTGTGTGCAGGGTCCATAATCCAAGTCCCTTGCCTGTGTTCCTCCCCTTTAGGTAGGAGTGAAGTCCAATGATCAGGGATGCATTCTTTCAGCAGCTTGTAATTGGGTTCCAAATTCCGCAATCTTGGCAGTTTTTTCTTCAGTTGGTCGAGGGGGAGCCATCGATCCGCTTCAGCATCCCAAATGTCCTTAATCTGCAGTACTCCCTTTTCGACCCAGGCCTTACCAAAAGAGCCCCTCGACCCATCTGCTTTAACCCAAGACCGCTCGGCCGTTGTAATTGATGGATTTTTTTTTATAAATATGGACCATTCCTCGATTTATGCGTGTCATCCTTGCTAATCTTCTCTGAGTATCGTTCCAATTCGTTCCAATTTGAACGGATGTCCCGAAGGACAAAAAAATAAATAAATAGATTTTTCGAAGTCGGTCGTTGCCGCTGTCTGTCGCTCCCCCCCTGGGCAAAGGGCCTCGCCACACCACTGTCGAAAGGTGAAAAAGCCAAAATTGTGGCGGGCGCATCTGGCCATGTTCTAGCGAGCAGTTCATTCTCATCTTGCACTTTTCGAGAGTGGTGTGGCGATGCCCAAAGTGCCAACCGGCTGGCCGCGACCGGCCGGCAGGCACGTGGTTCCTTTCGCGTGTGTGGCGGGTTGTCTCGTCGACAGACAGGTAAAGCCGGCGTCGAGCCGACCTGGCATATTCTCGGGGTGTCGGAAATCGACCTCCTCTCGCGCTCTGCTTCACAAGCTCGCCCACACGCATGCTACCTACCCCAGCCCCGCTCCTCCCAGGCTCCTCCTTCCCC